CTCCCGCCCAACCTTCAGGCTCAGACTTGCAACCCGGCCTGCTAGCTCTCCTCCTTGCCTCCCACACAGGCATCTCTCTTAATAGGACCCTTGACTGTTGCATTGTGTCTTGACACTTGCTTCTCAGAGGATCTGCACGAACACATTGGTCTCCAGCCCATGCCCCACTTCTTACCTCTGGATCCTTCCCACACTATGGTGCTTCACTCGCACGGGTATGGGGCCCCAGGCACCCAGGCATGGTCTTATCCATGTGTGCCCTTGGCCTGCAGTCTTCTTTTAAAAAAAATTCTTTATTGTTGAAAGTGTTACATATGTTTCCTTTTCCCCGCATTGATCTCTCCCCACCTGCTCCCTCCACCCCCCCAGCACAGGCCCTCACCCGTCTATGTCTGTGTCCATTGGTTATGCTTATATGCATGCATACAAGTCCTTCGGTTGATCTTTTACTCCCTCCCCTACCTTCCTGCTGTAGTTTGACAGTCTGTTTGATGCTTCTTTGCCTCTATCTGTTTTTGTTCACAGATTACATGAGGTGGGGGGTGGCAGAAGGGCTAGCTCAGGGCCACGGGGAGCAGGAGTGGGCTCCTTTTGTCTGAGTGTAACCTAACATGCTACTGGCCAGGGGCCTCCCTCTCCACACCAGCCTCTGGACCTCGCGATCTGTCTCACCCTCCCGCCTGTGTGCTTCTGAACATGCTCTATAGCAGCTGGGCTGAGGGAGGGAGGGAGCATGTTTCCCTGACTCTTCACATCTGTCTTCTTCCGCTAAGAGTCTTGTGGAGCACAGAGGAAACAGGTTCAGAGGTTGAATGGGTGTCCACACCTGGATCTTTTTCTTTTTTTTAAATCCTCACCAGAGGCTATTCCCATTGATTCTTAGGGAGAGTGGGAGAGAGAGGGAGAGACAGAGAGAAACATCGATGTGAGAGAAACACATCGACTGGTTGCCTCCTGCATGTGCCCTGACCAGGGCCCGGGCTGGGAGGAGCCTTCAACCAAAGTACATGCCCTTGACCGGAATTGAACCTGGGACCCTTCGATCTGCAGGCTGATACTCTGTGCACTGAGCCAAACTGGCAAGGGCCACACCTGGATCTTCTGATGCCCAACCCTGGCTCTTTTGTGATGTTCCAGCCAGCGAGGCCAGTGCCAGTGCTGCACAACCGCCCTCCTGTTGCTGGAATGTTCCTCAGTGGCTGGGAATGGAGAGCGGAGGATATGGTCCCTGGAGGCCAGCCAGGCTCCAGCCCCTCAGAACTTGTCATTATACCTGCAGTCTGGGTAGCGGTAGGCAAATCTGGGGTCACAGGTTCTCAGGGGTCTCAAGATGCTCTTCAGCTGGCTGGCGGCCTCCAGGACTTCGGGGTCTGGGCGGTCGCCCTCCCCACACTTGGCCAGGAGGACATCGATCTGCTCCTGCACCGGAGAGGGGAACTTCCCCTGGAGCAGCTGAGGCAGGACCTGCCGACACACCAGCACCAGGCTCTGCTTCTCGGGGATGGAGTCACAGGAGGGCAGCTCGGCCTGGCAGCCGGTGACCAGGCAGCTGAAGATGTCTTTGTTCTCTGCTGCCCTGGCGGCTGCTTGGCTGCCTAGAAGAGAAGCATGGAATGTTACACATCTTACAACCTGTTCTCCCTGGGGGAGATGCTGCTAATCAGAATTGCTGGGCGAAGTGGTGTAGTCTTCCAGCATCTCCTGTCACCAGGAGATTTAGGGCTCAGGGACCCAAAGGCCTTGCTAAGAACGACATGGGAGGAGCTCTCTTTGCTACAATTGGCCGAGGCCAGGGCCTGGAAACACACTTACCCCTCCCAGCAGTTGGGCTTACAACTATAGGGCTCACCCCCATCTTGCGATTCTCCCATTCTTACTATTAAATTAGGGAAATCAGGAAATACAAAGTTGGGAGAAAGAACAGGTAAACCAGAATATGTATTCAATGGGGCTGGCATTCCGTGGTTTACATATCCTGAATATTCTGGAATCGGCCTCATTTCTTCTAATAAAAACAAACCAGGAAATGAGTTAGTGTGGTTTAATTGGTCTGTCTTTGTAGGCTTTCTCATGAAAAGTCCTCTGTCGCCTGGCCCGTGTGGCTCAGTGGTTGAGCATCAACCTATGAACCAGGAGGCCACGGTTCGATTCCTGGCCACGGTTGTGGGCTCGATCCCCAGGGTGGGGCGTGCAGGAGGCAGCCAATCCATGATTCTCTCTCATCATTGATGTTTCTCTCTGTCTCTCCCTCTCCCTTCCTCTCTGACATCAATAAAAATATATGAAGAAATTAAAATAAAAAGTCCTCCATCCTATCATTGAGCTTACAACACTCGGTTACCACTAGAGACTGGGATGCTCCAAGGCCTCCAGGACCCCGATGAGCCTGTGCACTCAGTGGAAAACATGAGTCACTCCTAGACCTCATGCAGTGCCATGCTTTTTAATTGGAAACTTTCTAAAAGGCAAAGGTGCCAAAATGGATTGCAACGTGTACAAGTGTCTCAGCCAGATCTTTAAGTTTCAGATAAAGGCTGAAAGCATCTGATGAGAAAGGCACTGAGAGGGAGATGGATCCAGGGGTGGTGTGTGTGTGAGGAAGGGCACGGCAGGGCAGGTCTCCGACCACACACACTGAATTGGGCCACAGCATCGCCACCCCCATCCCCCCTTGGACAAGGTCAAGGCCAGTTCCCCTCTGGAGTTGGACTTGGAGCAGGGATTCTAGAGGGGGAGAGGGACATCTGACATGAATTTGGGGTGCTCTCACTGTGACATACGGAGACTGGAAAGGCCCAGTGGCACCACCCCCGGGCACCCCTCCAAGCTCCTGTCACTCTGACTTCCCCTCTGACAGCTGCTCAGCTGGGCCCCTGCTGAGTACCTTCCTGCCTGTCGATGACGCCCAGGGCACTGGCATCCCGGATGAACAGATGCCCGTTGTTAAAGATGCCAAACATGGAGGCGTCCACGTGGGTGAAGTAGAGGAAGTAGTTCAGATCGTTGTTCCGCAGGGACTCCAGGATCCTGAGGAGCTGATGGGCCAGGTCGGCTGCCTGGTCGGGGGGCGCGGCATAGAATTCCTGCAGCGGGCTGGTGCTGCTGCTGACCAGGAACCGGCCGCAGGAGCCCAGGTACTTGGGCAGCGGCCACCCCTCAGCTCCAGGGAAGATCTGCCAAGGCAGGAGCAGGAGGGAGCATTAGAGGGTTGGAGAGAGAACAGTCACAGACACAGCATGTCCTCTCTCTCCCCCCTTCCTTTCCTTTCTCTCTCTCTCTCTCCCCTCTTCAAACAAGGCAACACGCCACCCCATCCCTGCCCCCTTTTTTGTTCTTGTTTCAGATGAATAGATTTGGAAGAAGCTCTTATTGCCATGCGGTAGATTGCATTTTAACAGTGTCCCCAAGTAAGATATGAGAATGTTGAGGCACTTGCCAGGATTTTAGATGGGATTCGGATTCAGGGGAATATATTTATTTTAGGAGTTATATTTTAGGAAGAGGCCGTGGGGAGAGGGAAGAGGGTCAACTTCAGGATGATTTAAAGAAAAATATTTTTTAAAATAAGAATGCAGCAGCACCCGGCCAGCATGGCTCAGTGGTTGAGCGTCGACCTATGAACCAGGAGGTTACGGTTTGATTCCCGGTCAGGGCACATGCCCAGGTTGTGGGCTTGATCCCCAGTGTGGGGTGTGCAGGAGGCAGCCCATCCATGATTCTCTCTCCTCATGGATGTTTCTCTCTCCCCCTCTCCCTTCCTCTCTGAAATCAATACAAATATATATATATATATATTAAAAAATCTTCCTGATTTTGGAGGCACTGTCAGAGCTGCCTCCTTCACGGAGCCTTCGGGGCAACCTCGGGCAGTGAGGGTGGCTGAGGTCTCCCCACACATCCAGGCACTAGCATGGCTTGGTTGCCCCAAGGCAGACAGTCTAGGGGGAGCGAGCTCCACCCAGGCGGGCCCTCCTCGTTGTCCCTTGGGGGCACCTGCGTACCTGTAGGAGGATGGGGTGCGCGTTGACAGCCAGCGTGTAGAGCAGGCGCAGCTTGTCGCGATCCGTGAAGTGGTCCATGAAGATGCTGCCCGCGTCGGCCACCTCCGCGTAGCGCCGGACCACGCGGTCCAGGAGGCGCTG